TTAACCAATTAAACATAATTGCTAAATTACCAAAATTATTCCGAACGTAAACGGTACGTCGAAAATATTTTCCGGTAATTTCGACTGAAATAACTGAAAATAATTAATCCCGAAAAATCATATCGGAACTAAAACATTATTATACTGATAAAAAGTCGGGATATTACAGCAAACCTTTAGATCCGGTGAGCATAGGTTTACGTTTTACTATTAAATTCGTGATTTGTGCATAACGAGATTGATCCCAACAGAATGTTCCAAACAGGATGCCACCCAGCCCGAGGGCGTGAGTAATCGACCAACTTTTCCACCCAAAGGGATGTTCCAAACAAGTGACCACCCAGCCCGAGGGCCTTAGTCATGGTGGGTTTGGTCTTCACACTTACTTACCCGCGAGGAATGTTCCAAACAGGAGGCCACCCAGCCCGAGGGCGTGAGTAATTGACCAACCTGCCCACCCCAAGGGATGTTCCAAACAAGTGACCACCCAGCCCGAGGGCCTTAGTTATGGTGGGTTTGGTCTTCACACTTGCCCACCCGCGAGGAATGTTCCAAACAGGAGGCCACCCAGCCCGAAGGCGTGAGTAATCGACCAACCTGCCCACCCCAAGGGATATTCTGAACAAGTAACGACCGAGCCCGAGGGCCTTAGTCATGGTGGGTTTGGTCTTCACACTTGCCTACCCACGAGGAATGTTCGAAACGGGAGGCCACCCAGCCCGAGGGCGTGAGTAATCGACCAACCTGCCCACCCCAAGGGATGTTCCAAACAAGTGACCACCCAGCCCGCGGGCCTTAGTCATGGTGGGTTTGGTCTTCACACTCGCCCACCCGCGAGGAATGTTCCAAACAGGAGGCCACTCAGGCCGAGGGCATGAGTAATCGACCAACTTGTCCACCCCAAGGGATGTTCCAAACAATTGCTCACCCAGCCCGAGGGCCTTAGTCATGGTGGGTTTTGGTCTTCACACTTGCCCGCCCGCGAGGAATGTTCCAAACAGGAGGCCACCCAGCCCGAGGGCGTGAGTAATCGACCAACCTACCCACCCCAAGGGATGTTCCAAACAAGTGACCACTGAGCTCGAGGGCCTTAGTCATGGTGGGTTTGGTCTTCACACTTGCCCACCAGCGAGGAATGTTCCAAACAGGAGGCCACCCAACCCGAGGGCGTGAGTAATCGACCAACCAGCCCACCCCAAGGGATGTTCCAAACAAGTGACCACCCAGCCCGAGGGCCTTAGTCATGGTGAGTTTTGGTCTTCACACTTGCCCAACCGCAAGGAATGTTCCAAACAGGAGGCCACCCAGACCGAGGGCGTGAGTAATCGACCAACCTGCCCACCCCAAGAGATGTTCCAAACAAGTGACCACCCAGCTCGAGGGCCTTAGTCATGGTGGGTTTGGTCTTCACACTTGCTCACCCGCGAGGAATGTTCCAAACAGGAGGCCACCCAGCCCGAGGGCATGAGTAATCGAACAACCTGCCCACCCCAAGGGATGTTCCAAACAAGTGACCACCCACCCGCGAGGAATGTTCCTAACAGGACGCCACCTAGCCCGAGGGTGTGAGTAATCGACCAACCTTCCCACCCCAAGGGATGTTCCAAACAAGTGACCACATCATACATCCTGTCATCCAAATCATTCCAACATTCCAAGCATAAGAGGGTGCAAGATAAAATAAGTAATACCAAAAGATAACTGAATTCCATTAACTTCTGAATAGGGTTTGCGAGCTACATCTTTGTCCAAATTTCCAAAACCTCTTTGAAAAAAGCAAAAATATTACACATAATATTTTTTCAAATTAGCTATGTTCCATGACCTGGCAAGTGATCGTTCTTCTGCATCCTTTAGAGTGTATGCTCCTCCTGCATGCACCCTCTCGACCATGTATGCTCCTTCCCAGTTTGGTTCCAACTTTCTTACGTGTTTGAGCACCTCCACACGTTTCCAAACTAAGTCGCCTACTTGGAATCTGCGAACTTTCACCTTCTTGTCATGAGCTGCTCGCATTCTTTGTTTATACACCTCCACTCTAATCGCTGCTCTTTCGCGCACTTCTTCAATGGTGTACAAGGCCGCCGTCATGAGATCTTCATTTTGCTCCGGATCATATGCGCTCGACCATTGCGACGATAGCTCGACCTCGACTGGCAGCAGTGCTTCCATCCCATAGACTAAAGTAAAAGGGGTTTCTCCTGTTGTCGACCTCGGGGTTGTGCGGTATGCCTAAAGTACTGAAGTTAGCTCGTCGACCCATGCTCCCGAGGCCTTTTCCAGCCTTGTTTTCAGCCCATTCAGTATAATTCGGTTGGTTACCTCGACTTGGCCCTTGGCTTGAGGATGAGCGACAGAGGCAAAATGTTGCTCGATCTTCATATCCTCACACCATGCTCGAATCCGCTTGCCATTGAATTGAGTTCCATTGTCGGATATCAACACTTTGGGCACGCCAAACCTGCAGCAAATATTGTTATATAAGAAATTGATGACTTTTTCCTCCGTGATCTATGCCAAGGGCCCAGTCTCTACCCATTTCGTAAAATAGTCCACTGCCACAATCAAGAATTTCCTCTGCCCCGTCCCCTGCGTCATCAGCCCCACCAGGTCGATTCCCCACTGGGCGAATGGTATAGGGGCACTCATTATTGTCATGGCTTCCGCAGGTTGATGAATCAGTGGGCCGTGCTTCTGGCATTGCAAACACTTCTTCACCATAGCCCTGCTATCCTCCTTCATCGTCGGCCAGAAATACCATGCCCTCAAAATTTTTGCGACCAAGGCCCCCGACTTGCCATGGTTGCTACAGCATCCTTCGTGCACCTCTCTCAGCACATATCGACCCTCCTCCCTAGTCACGCACCACAAATGCGGTCCGGCATACGATCGCTTGTAAAGAATACCTCTATGCTCGAAAAAACTGCTTACTGCTTTCAACGCTCCTTCTCTCAACTCCCTTAAGATTGGGGCCCTCCAATGCTCAACCTCCTCGATCTCAACCACCTCCGCATCGACTATACTTTTCTCCAGGTATAATAGAGTCACACTTCTACTCTTGCAATTTACCAAACTCTGAGCAATCTTCGATAACAAGTTTGCTCGGCCATTCTCCCATCGAGGGATCTGTATCAGCTTGAATGAATCAAATTCTTCTTTCAACTTTTTCATCTCGTCCAAATATTTCTGCATCCTGTCCTCCTTAACTTCGAATCCCTCCTGAAACTGCCCAACCATCAATTGAGAATCAGAATGCACTTGCACCTTTCGGGCTCCCCCCGTCGTAGCTAATTGCAAATCTTTGATCACCGCCTCATACTCGACTTCATTATTGGACACCCTGAACCCTATCTTGGCCGCAAACTCCAAATAATCGCCCTTAAGGGAAATAAGAACAATTCCCAATCCTGCTCCACTCCTCGCCATAGATCCATCCATGAATAACTGCCATAGTCGTCCCGACTCCTCCTCAATTTCCGTGCCCTCCTGGATAAAATCTGCCAACACCTGCGCCTTAATAGCCCTCTTTGGCTCATATATTAACGAGTATTCACTCAGTTCGACCACCCATTTCACCAATCGACCAGACATTGAAGGTCGCCCGAGTGTCTCTCCCGGTGGCATATTCGTCCTTACCCTCACTCTATGATTTAGGAAGAAAGGCCTCAGCTTTCGAGCACAACCACCGCCAGAGCGCACTTCTTGATCTCTGAGTACCTCATCTCTGCTTCTTGCATCACCTTGCTTACATAATAGATAGGAAATTGTGCTACTCCTTCCTTACGCAACAAAACTAAACTCACCGCCCTCTCTCCAATAGAAATGTACAGCACTAAATCCTCTCCTTGCACCGGCTTAGCCAACAGTGGAAGGTTGGCTAACACCCCCTGCAACTCCTCGAACGCACGCTGAGCCTCATCAGTCCACTGAAACTTCGTACTTTTCTTTAGTGTTTTAAATAATGAGCCACTCTTCTCAGCCACTTTGGATAAAAAACGACTCAGCCCCGCAATTCGACCAACCAAGATTTGTACCTCCTTGACACTTGATGGTGATTTCATCTCCATTACCGCTCGCACTTTCTCCGGATTCACCTCGATACCTCTCTTGGTCACCAAGTAGCCCAAGAATTTCCCCGATTTCACCCCAAACGAGCACTTGGCTGGATTCAACTTCATCCCATATCTTCTCAAAGTCAAGAATGTTTCCTTCAAGTCCTGCACATGATCCATCTCCTCCTTACTCTTCACCAACATGTCATCCACATAGACCTCCATATTCCTTCCTAATTGCTCCTTGAAAATCTTGTCCACCAACCTTTGATACGTGGCACCCGCATTCTTCAAGCCGAACAGCATCACCATGTAACAATAGGTTCATCGGCTCGTCACGAAGCTCACCCTCTTCCTGTCCTCTCTCGCCAAGGGAATTTGATGATATCCTTGCGAGGCATCCATCAGGCTCAACAACTCACATCTGGCAGTTGAATCGACCAACTGGTCGATCCTGGGCAATTGGTACAGATCCTTCGGGCATGCTTTGTTCAAGTCTCGAAATTCTATGCACATTCTCCATTTCCCTTCGGCTTTAGACATCATTACTGTATTTGATAGCCACTCCGGGAATTGAATCTCTTTGATATGCTCAGCTCCCAACAACTTCTCGACCTCCTGTTCAATAATTTTATCCATCTATGCTCCATGTTGTCGTCTCTTTTGTTTCACCGGCCTCACACTGAGGTCGATGTTTAAGAGGTGCTCGATCACCTCTGCACTTATTCATGTCAGCTCTTCCGCCGTATAAGAAAAGATATCGAAAAACTCCTTCACCAAACTAATCAAACTCGATCTGATTAGCTCCTCCAGCTCCTTCCCGATTCCAAACTTCCTCTCCTCATATCCCTCGACCATCTGGATCTCCTCCACCACCCCTCCTGGCTAGATATCTACCTTCTCCTTACCCTTCTCCTATCTCTGCATGTCCTCCTTTGACCTCGATACACCTGGTTGACTAATCTTCTCCTCCTTCGGCTTGATCTGCCTCCTTGCCAATTGTGTGTTATTGCTCACCGTCGTCTGATAGTAACTCCTCGAGGTAAGTTGATCCCCTGCGATCTCACCAATGTTTTCGCCCACCGGATATTTTATCATCAGATGGTATGTTGATACGACCGCCTGGAATGCGTTTAGGCTCGTCCTCCCCATAATGATATTGTAAGATGACTCAGCTCCCACTACCACAAACCTTACCATCCACACATTCCTCGTCACTTCTGATCCCAACGCCACCGGCAAACTCACCTTGCCCATCGGCATTACTTCTCATCCATTAAAACCATAGAGAGCCGTGGCCACCGACTTCAACTCTATATTCAGCTCCTTGTTGATCTGCGAGAAACAATCATAAAACATCACGTCACCGAACTCCTGGTATAAATAAACACCCTCTTCACATCGAAACCTGCCACCTCCGCAGTAATCACCAAGGCATCATTGTGCGGCAACACCACTCCTGCAGCATTTTCTGCCTTAAAACTGATCACTGGCATATGAGCCGTGATTCCAACCTCCTCCCTCTTTCTCTTCACAGCTCGAGCATGTTCTTTCCTAGCCTTGTTGAAGTCGCCATCCGTTGGTCCTCCCGAAATCATATAGACCGTTATCCTTTTCACAAGAGCTTCACCCCCTTGCTCTCCATCTCTCCTCGGCCTCTTCCCTCGACCGTCTCGACCATCTCTATCATCCCCCTCCTCGCCTCTATCACTTCTCTCCTCCGAATCCTCCCGACATCTCCTCCTTCCTCTTCCTTTCACCTTATCATGATACACGAACTCCTTTAAATGCCCCGCCTGAATCAACCTCTCAATCTCATCCTTTAAATGCCTGCAATTCTCCACGGTATGGCCATAGTCCCGATGAAAACGACAGTAGATATCCGACCTAGGCCGAGTCGGGCCTGTAAACCTCGTCTTTGGCCATGTCACATCCTCGCTCGACATCTTCTGCTCCATCGCTTCGAGCACCTCCGTCATATCTTTTCTCAAAGGCATAAAATTATGGTACCTCTGTCTTTCGAACAACAATGGCCTCCCCTACCACCTGTCATCCTTTCTCGCTTGCTTTGAGTCTCGCCCCTCTCCTCTAGGCGACGCTCTTTTCGGTCCTCTCCATCTGGGTGAACTTCTCCTCGGCGACCTTCCCCTCGGTGGGCCTTTTTCCTTCTTTGGCTCTGGTCGAGCAGCTCCCTCCAATTTCAAGAACTCCACTTCCATCTCCTCCAAGTTAATATACTTCCTGCACCGCTTCAAAACATCCTCAAATGATCAACCAGGGGTCTTTGCCAGTGAGGTTCGATAAGGCCCTGCTCGAAGACTCCTTATCAACCCTCATGCTTACACCTCATCCAACGCCGAGTGCACGTTCAAATACGTTTGAACGTATTTGAAGCAACATACTTCCTCAACGACTCCTTCTCTCCCTGCTTCATCGCCATCAAGGTCAAATATGTCTTCCCCTGAGCCACCACGCTCGAGTACTGATTGGTGAGCTTGCTAGAAAAATCCACGAAGTCAGCGATCGACCCTGGGGTTAATTAATGGAACCAATCGAGTGCTCCCCCGCGCAAGGTCGATAAGAAAGCCCTGCAACACACAGAATCAGAATCTCCATGCAGCACAACCATATTCTCAAAAGTCCTCACATGCCTCGACAGGTCAGATGACCCGTCATATACCAAGTTGGTCTCCCTGAAATTATTCAGCAGAGGGGCCGCAAAGATCTCCCTCGAGAAAGGATGTCCGCGAGCTCTCCTCTTTGGCCTTCCCTCAACCTTGTCCTACAACAGGCGCAACAGTTCTGCCATCCTTTCCATCGCACGATCTCTCCCACAGCTGGACACATCCTCGTCCTGACTTCCCACCACCGTGGTCGGCGCGGTTGTGGGGTGCGACGTGTGACTTGTGACTTTTTGAACCGCCTGCGCCGCCGCAGCCGCCACCATCCTCTGCATCTCCTCCCTGTTCATCGCCATCATATGCTGACTAGGGATTTGCGCACCTTCTTGTGGTGGCACTCCTCCTTGCACCACCGCTCCTCCCGGCTGCGCTACCACAGGGTTCTGGGGCAGCGGCGGTGGCATCGCCGCCGCGGCTGCTGCACGGGCCTCTTGGGCACAGCTGGAGCTTGCATCTCCTCTAGGAACCGCCGTCGATGCTCCCACACCTTGAAGGAAGGGTGTAGGAGTAACCGGCGTCTGTGAAGGGCCAGAGAAACCCGAAGGAGGGCCTTGCCCCATCGGCCAGGTCGTCGTCCAAGCGTCGTCGAACGTCGACTGCAAGTTGGTTCTAGGAATTCTGTCCACCATAGCTGAGCTTCAAACACAACCTTTCGAACAAGAGTTCCCACAGACGGCGCTAATAATGCAAGTGTGAGCGTCCTGGTCCGGTTCGGAGTAGATCGATTCTTGTCCTCGCCGGTAGAACGCCGGAAACATGCAAATAACTCCTATGTGTATGAGTATACTGGAGTTGAATAATGGAAAAATCGTACTAAGGAAGAAAGGCTCACCCCCTTTATATAGGAGTGATACCTGACCTAAGGCTGCCCGGATTTGATGAGCTGGCTGCCCAAGCTGCCCGTCCGTACTCTGACACGCCTCGCGCATGTCAGAGGTGGCGCAGGGCATTTGGAGCTGTCAGAGGTGGTTGTCGCTATCAACCAATGTGTTCTCAACACGTGTCCTTCTGCACACGAGTGAATATTGTTTTGAAATTCTGTTAGAGGCTCTTACACGCGCCTGTGACTAGGCCGATCTACGAAGTGTTTAATCCTTTCCTGGTCGAATGATGGATTGGTCGACTGCTTGACTGGTCGACTGACTGAGTGGTCGATCTTCCTGCCACCTGGCTCGGCGTCTTCACAGTTCAGCCCTTTCGACCGGTTTGCCAGACCGGTTTAGGCTTGTGTGTATAATATCCTATATCAACAATAATAAAAATAATAGTATTTTTTATGTAGTTCGACCATTCGATTATTTCGGTTATCTAAAACAAATATATAAAAATTAATAGTTTTAATAGAAATTGTTCTTAATTTGGTTATTTGAATTAAAAAATTGAAATCATACCGAAATAACTGATATATAAAATAATAATAATAATAACATTAATTGACCCAAAATATAAAATTTCGTACCGAATTTCTATTCGTTGATCTTGTCCGATTTTGTGCAATCTGATAGGCATTTACGTGTAACTCGTATAATACTAACGTGCAATCGCAATACATAAAAAATATTTATATAAAAGATAATATTAATTTTCATAAAAAATAGAAATAAAAAAAATATTCGGTAAATTTTTTCATATAGTTCAACATGTTTGGCTATTTTATTTATTTTAAAAAATAAATCCGACCTTTAACCAAATAATATCATTTGATCGATTAGCATAATAACTGCAATTTTGTTAGATATAGCATGTTGTGTTATAAGGTGCAACATGTTGTATTATAAGGTGCACTGTACAGTTGTATAAAGTGCAACATATTGACATATAAGGTGCAATAATGAAATTTTGATACGTTAGCATGCTTATTTTTTTTTATTTGATGGATATTGAAATATTATGTAGATACATTTTATATATTTATATTGGGAATATTTTGGTGAAATTAAATCTTGTTAAGTACAATCGTCGTCCAACAGTTCAATCTATCATTTATTAAGGTATAGTGCACGATGTCGGTCTGTATTGTACAAGATTTAACCAACCGAATTGTTTTCTCAATATAATTTTAGAATGAACATAATTAAAATATATTTAATATGTTAATACTTTTATTTATTATTTTACATTATGTTTGTTTGAAAAATATTTTAGTTCGGCCGGTTTGATCTCTAGTGTGCAATTTGATAGTGGTGATAACGTGCAGCGTGTTGTTTTATAAAGTGCAACACACTGTTTTATAAAATACAACGCGTTGTTTTATAAAGTGCATTGTGTTTAAAAATAAAGCGCACTACTGCAATTTGATAGCGTGTTTTTTTCAATATAAAGTTTTATTATATATATTTATGAATCTAATTACACTAAATAATTGAAATATTTGTATGATTTATTATTTAACATTACTTTTATTTAACTTTTTATTTATTAATTAACATATATGTATACAAAATATGTAAAAATAATATTTGTATTGAATTTCAATAATTACAAATTTGGCTGAGTTCTGAATTGAAATATAATTAAAATATATAAAATTGCAATTTGGTCCTTGAACTCTTTCTAATTTTAAAAAAAATGCCCATCTCCATGGCAGGTTTAGGACTATTATGCAGATCTCGTTCATTTTCACTCAATCGGAGATGGTCACTCCGAAGTTTGCTCAACCGCTCAATGAACTTCTTGTTCGGGGTTGGTGGAAGGTCGAGTTGGTGGATAATGATGGTCGTCGGAGTTAGTCGTCGGCGGCAGAGGGTTGTCCGTTGAGTCCAGGTTGGCCGCGAATGGAAGGTTGTTGGAGATGAGTCGAAAGGGCTGATGATATTGTTGCGGAGACAGAGGAACATACGAGAAGTTGCAGACGATGTTCGACGGCGGAAGTGGCGTGGCGGCAGCGGAGGCGTGTAGAGGCAGAGTTGTGACAGTGGCGGCATCATGACATCGACGAGGACAACATGGCTGAAGGTTTGTCTGCGAGTGTGTGTGTTCCGCCGGCGAGTGTGTGTTGTGTGTGTGTCACGTGTGTGTGTGATGTGTGTGTGTGTGAGAGAGAGAGAGAGAGAAAGTGGTGAGGTTGGTGACAGAAAGGATGGGGTGTAGAGAGTGGTAACGTATTAATTTTGTGGGGCCCATTAATGTGGTGGGTAGTTGGTGTATTTTACCACATTACCCTTCATGAATGTATAATTTTAGCATTTATTTTAGTAATTAGATCATCCGATCTATTGACTACGATTTATTCTCATTTTTTCATGAAGAATCATTCTCATGT